AGGACACTACTTTTATTCTCAACTTGGTGACATTATAGCTATAGGTAAAGGCAATTTAAAACATTTCTACACAGTGGAGATAACCAGAGTAGGGTTAATTACCTTTTAACTAATCTCTGTGCCTCTATTCTTTATACTACTGATAACAAGATCTTTTAAAATGTGATTTAAGAGTGTAAGCTCCCCAAAAGCAAGAGACTTATTTGTCTTACTGCTGAATTCCCAGTCCCTAGAACAGGGGCGGGGACACAGTAAATGCTTACTGGCTACACCTGTTTAATGAGTGAGTGATCATCCTCCTCCCTTAAAAATCTTCACTGGCTGCTCAAAGAACATCAGGATAGACTTCAGCTTCCTCAGCTGATATACAGAGGCCTCAATGATCTGGACAGGCCTATTGTTTCAGCATCTTCTCCTGGGGCTCCCCCTGTGTGCCCTAGGCTTGGCCCAACCTAAAACCAATTCTGACTCTGAGAATAAGCCATGTTCTCTGCACTCTCTCAAAGTCTCATGCTTTTTATTCCTTTGCTTTCACTAACTCTTAATCATCTTCCACAGTTGGCTCAGGCTTCACTAACTCTAGGAAGCTATCCCTGATGAGGATCCCTCATGCTGAGTTAGGCACCCCTCTTGAATGTTCTCAGAGCAGTTGTGCATTCCAATCTCCCAGCACTGACCTCTGCACTATAAATGTATTTCCCCTAGAATGTAAACTTTTGGGAGCCATGGATTGCTTCTTGTATGACACACAGTAGATGCTAATGAATGAAGAACAGTTGTGAGAACTAAAGGAGATATTACCTATTAGCCATTCAGTAATACCTTCCCTTCCAAAGAGAGCTATTATAATAGTGCCCTGAGATTTCTACCTGGAGCAGTTCTGAAAGAGGAGATGAAAGAAGAAATTAAGGAGCCACAAAAGTTTTTATGCTTAAAAAGTGAATATCAGCAGTGGGAGAAAATGACATCCTGTGTCTCCTGGTATCAAGCACTGAAAAGGACACAGCATTGCTTCTGTAGGATTCCCACCCAAACACATAAGCTGAATCCAATGAGGGGCGAAATCACACAGATTCAAACTGAAGGACATTTCACAATATAAATGGCCTGCATTCTTAGAAAAAGTCAATGTTATGAAAGACTAACTCCATGGAAGGCTGAGGGACCATTATGGATTGAAGGAGGCCAAAGGGGCGTGACAACTAAACGCAATGTGTGATCTAGATTTGATCCTGGACCAGGTTAATAACTTGCTATAAAGGATAATACAGGGACAACCCACAAAATCTTACTAAGAATTGTAGATTAGATAATAGTATTGTATTATTATTCCGAAGTATTTAGGGATAAAGGAGCATGATTTCTGCAACTATCAAATGATTCACTACAATTATGTATGTAAGAATGTGTGTATATAATGCATACATACATATATGTATATAGGAGAGAGAATAGAAATGATTAAAAAGAGTGCAGCAAACATTAACAACTGATGAATCTGAGTGAAATGTATTCAGGAGTTCTTGGTACCACTTTTGCAATCTTTACAAAGACAAAGGTTCCATGACTGGTATTAAATGATTTGCAAAAGGAGCACACAGAAGAATTGGTACAATCACTAGAAAATGCTGTATTTCACCATTATGATGATCTCCTGAGGTTTGTTCCCGTGTTCAAAGATTATACCATTTTACTGTATTTGTTATATAATTTAATAAAACTAAATTTCACCTATTAACATAAGGTACTGGTCAGTACCTTCTACTAAACGTAGAATTTGAAAAACCACATAGGAACTTGATTAATGGCTACCAAGGCATAAAGCATTGCTTAGAATAGCTGGTTGCTTGAAACAATAATTCACACTTCTGAGATGGCATCAAAAATCATTATAGGAAGTCGCATTTTGGTAGTGAAGGCTGTTATTAGGCTGTAGCAAAGTAACACAAATTACTTTTCTGGAAGCAATAAGGAAAAAATGCAATTTACTCCAAAGGGAAAATATATGTGTACATTAGAATTAGTTGAATATTTTAGAGGAATAGCTCTTTCATTAAACTTCTTTGTTAAATTAAATTCTTTATTCTTAGTTAAGAGCACTGTACAACTGCACTGAGATGCTAGCAATGCTGTCAATATACACGATTCCATTGAAAAGTCTGATACAGGACTTCTCAGCCTCAGCACTACTGATGTTTTGGGCCAGACAGGTCTTTGCTGTGGGGCCTGAGCTTTGCAGCAGGTTAAGCAGCAACCCTGACTTCCATCCACTAGATGCCAGTAGTCGTCCCTCCCAGGGCGACAACCAAAAACACCTCCAGACGTTGCCAAAATGCATCCCTCGCATGGCAAAACTGCCCCGGGGGGAAATCTCTGGTCTGAGATGATGTAATTTCAGATAACATTTCCCCATTCTTTGAAACTGACCTTTAGATGATGAATACAATGTTTAGAAAATAAAGTTAACTGTTGCAATGTCTCCCTAGTATCTCCTGGATAAAATCCAAAATATTTAGTCTTCTCCATCATATCTGAAACCTTCTACCCTGTTCTGCAGAAAGGTTGCTCTAGTTAGTGTATTCTTACTTCTGAAACATACTGTGCATCCTCTGCCAGTACTAACACGCACATGACTTTGTGCTTGCTGCCATGAATCCCCATATTTGAGATGTTACAGTTAAAGTGGACACTCTTCACTACGTGACTGGTTACAGCTGAATGGGTCAAAGGACCACAACTGATAAACATGGATCCAATCCAGAGGCTAGACGTAGCTGATCAGATCTTTCTCTTTGGGCTTGGGCATTTTGTGGGGCTATCTTTGGGCAAGTGAAGCAGAAAAAAATCAGCTTAAAATGAGAAAAAGCAGACATGAAACTCCCAAGAAAGAGGGTGGGTGAGCAGCTTATGGGCATATCCTTAATGAAGTCTACTGAAAAATCACTCCAAATTTCTCCTTCCTCTGAACTTCCTTAATTAGTGGCATGACTGTCAGCAAGTCACCTTATTTCAAGGTCTCAGTTTACTTATTTGGAAAATAAGGAAGATGGGCCCTGAACAGCTTTATTCTTTAGCTCAAATATCTACTAATCATTGGTGGTATTGTCTCCTGATTGTTTTAGATTGTAATTTAACTGATGAATTAACACTTGACTTTTCATGAACACATCTTCCCAATTAGTATAATGTTTCCTGAGGGCAGGGCCAGAATGCTCTATTTACCCCCTTAGGGAGAAGACTTGATTACCAATTGCAGATGGTGAATCCCTGGGAATCACCGAGTTATAATAAGAGAGATGAGTGCTGTTTGTAAATCTGCTAGAGAAATAAATCCTTTGGTACTAGTCCCTTAGGCCCTAGGACTGATTCAGTATCTCATACTTATATGTTCAAAGGCTAAACCATGTAAGGTATCCAAAAATCATGATGAAAGTAAGCAGTCTTGCGGAACTACTGAGAAAGAAATGTGAAGCATGTGAGAAAGAAATATCTGAATCAAACTTGCAGGCCTACAACTCTTAAATGGAGTGTTCTTAGTAAAATGATGTGATGGTTAACTTTATATGTCAAGTTGACTGGGCCATGAGGTATACAACTGTTTGGTCAAACATTATTCTGGGTAAGTCTATTAAGGTGTCTCTGGATGAGATTTAACATTTGAGCTGGCAGACTGAGTCAAGCGGATTATACTTCTTAATGTGGGTACATGAGTGTGTGCTCAGTCGTGTCGGACTCTGAGAGCCCATGGACCCCTGCCAGGCTCCTCTGTCTGTGGAATTTTCCAGACAAGAATACTGGAGCAGGCTGCCATTTCCACTCCAGAGGATGTTCTGATTCAGGAATGGAACCCATGTCTCCTGCACTGGCAGGCAGATTCTTAATCACTGCGCCATCTGGAAAACCCTAATGTGGGTGAAAGTGAAAGTGTTACTGGCTCAGTCATGTTTGACTCTTTGTGGCCCCATGGACTGTAGCCCGCCAGGCTCCTCTGTCCATGAAATTCTCCAGGCAAGAATACTGGAGAATTCCATATATCAGTATGTTATACATTAAATGATGTTATTATAATTAACAATCATATAACAATGATAATAAAACTTTGAACAGATGATGTATTTATCAATCATCTGTTTGCATTTCTCAATCACAGAAACAATGGATTTCTCTATTTTATGGAGGCACCTGTGACATCTGAAATGTTCTATGAGCTTGTTCAGTAGAAAGATTAAGCTAAAAATGTGAGATTTTAAGAGCTGAAATAAGTATTGCAATTCTTAAAAAAATAAAGGAATACAGTTAATCATTTCAGGAAAATTAACTTGGATGAATAAAAAAGCTACCACTTTACTTATGTTTACTTTATAAAACCTTTTTTCTTCCCTGACAATGAAAAATGCTCTGGTAAGTGGGATACTTCCAATGTAAAGTAAAGTATAACTTTCTTTTCAAAATTTCAATTTACATATATACTACTTTTCAGCAATGTGCTACAAAACAAGCAAGGTATACGTATATGAAATTACCTTCTAAGAAAGTTTAATTTTTGGACAGAATGAAATAACTTTAACAGTTTATCAGTGACATATTTAGATATGAACAGTTTATGAATTTACATATGTAACTTATTATAGTTTTAAAGGCAATCTCACATTTTGGAAATTCTTTAAAATTCAGATTTGATTTAATATATCTTTGTGTAATGGTTCTGCAAAGGAGTCAGAGAAGTCAACCGATTTGAACAAGTAACTACTGAAGCTACAGATGTTAGTACTCTAAAACATGTAAGCAAAACTGACACTTATATGTTATGGCCCATTACATAATGAAAGTATAAATACAATTTTCTTATACTAGATGATTACTTGGATAAGATTATGATAATACATTAAATTTTTTCCAGAAATATTCTTCCTTAAGATTTTTATATATAAAGACTTATAAACTATGACTGAAAAGTAGCTTTATTTCAGAACATTTTTGGTTGATATCAGGTTACTGACCTGTTTGATATTCTTGGAGATAGGACCTGGAATAATGCACTCATCACTATCAGAAGCTGATCTGTCTTCTTCATCTGTTAAGAAATAAAATTTTATTGGTTTAAATCTGTTAAACCAATTACATTTGTACCCTGTGAAATGGAGAGAAATAAGCATATGTTACAAGGGTAACCATAAAAGAAAAATATGATAATCATGTCTGAATTTTTTTAGCACTGAAGAGAATTAGATTTACATTACATTTTAGTACTGACTCATTGGAAAAGACCCTGATGCTGGGAAACACTGAAGGCAGGAGGAGAAGGGGACGACAGAGGATGAGAGGGTTGGATGGCATCATCAACTGATGGACATGAGTTTGAGCAAGCTCAAGGAGATGGTGAGGGACAGGGAAGCCTGGTGTGCTGCAGTCCATGGGGTTGGAAAGAGTCAGACACGACTGAGCGACTGAACTGAACTACATTTTAGAAAAGAGAAAATGAAATAAAAATACTGCTTGTTCAAGTATAAAATTAAAATAAAAAATTTTAAAAGAACATGATAATCATATTTTCCAACAGCCTAACCTATACTATCGTGTAAAAAATCAAGTTATTCCTACTATTTAAAAATATTTTAAAAAGTTTTTATAGTTTTTATTGCAGTAAAGTTGACATATAATAAACCACACAAATTTGTGTGCAAAATTTGTATTTACATTTTGGAAATATGTATTTTGACAAATATATAATTCTGTGAAACCATCACCATAATTAAGATCGTTAACTATCACCCCCAATATTTCTTCATGCCCCCTGTAAAGTTTTTCCTCCTGCATCTTTCTATTTCCATTTGTCCTTCCCTAGGCAACCACTTAAATGTTTTGTCACAATAGATTAGTTTGCCTTTTCTAGATGTTTATATAAGTGAAATCATGTTGTATGTAAGTTGCCTTTCTTTCTTCATTTTTAAAAAATCAAGTCCTCTAGAATAACCCAGATAATAGTACTGAACCCAAAGAGAATATAAAGTCATTTAAAATATAAATATGGAACATGGTCAGCAACAATACTAGTATTCCGTTGTGGTGCACTGAGTTTGAAATAAGATATGCAACAATTCCACCTGACCACACCTGACGAGACTGAACTACATCTCATCATTTCTGTTAAGAAATAGCTATCATGAAGTAGACTCATGATTAAATGAAGATGTTCCATGAGGCATGAACAGATTAAACAAAGCAGAGTCAGGGAAATAATGGTAATTTAAAAAAGGAAGTCACCTTCTGGTTCCAGTTCTTCAGTTATTTCTGTTTCATCTTCAGAAGAAGTCAAACTTCGTTCTGCAAGTTGACCCTCAGACAGTAAAGACACATCGTCATCTTTTCCTTGCTGCATTTTCTCAGTATTCTCTTTTACCTTATCTACACTGCTTTCCTGAGGAACCTGAAGAAGCAAAAGCACGGTGATAAAAGCACAGTGATCCCAGAGGGATCGGGTGGAGAGGGAGGTGGGAGGGGGGATTGGGATGGGGAACACATGTAAATCCATGGCTGATTCATGTCAATGTATGACAAAACCCATTACAATATTGTAAAGTAATTAGCCTCCAACTAAAAAAAAAAAAAAAAAAGCACAGTGATATATTACTGCTTATATCACATTTATAGTATTCTTGCTGAAGCCCTTGAATGATAATAAAGCAAGTAAATATACTGACATGCACTTTATATTTGATTCATGAGAAAAGAATCACTTAAGCTGCACAAATGAAAATATGCAGATAAATTAAAATCTGAATACAAACTAAATACTCAGAAGCATTAATCTCAAAATGAATTTTACATTATAATTTAATTAGTATGTGTATTTACTACCTACTAATGTCTGCATAATTATAACTATTACACTGGTAATATGTTGGACCTTTCTATTCCACGGAAGTCATATAGAATGGGATCACTGATATGATTTCTTTAAAAAAATTTTTTTTTCGTTTTTGGCTGCACTGGGTCTTCATTGCAGTGCATGGGGCTCTCCGTTGCTGCACGTGGGCTTTCTCTAGTTGTGGCAAGTGGAGGCTACTCTCTAGTTGTGGTGTGTAGGCTTCTGGTTGCAGTGGCTTCTTTTGTTGCAGACCACAGGCTCTAGAGTGTACAGGCTTCAGAAGCTGCGGCTCTTCATGTCAATGTATGGCAAAACCCACTACAATACTGTTAAGTAATTAGCCTTCAACTAATAAAAATAAATGGAAAAAAAAAGAAAAGTTGCAGCTCACGATCTCAGTTGCCCTGCAGCATGTGGGATCTTAGTTCCTGGACTAGGGATTGAACCTGTATCCCCTGTATTGGCAGGGGGATTCTTAACCACTGGACCACCAGGGAAGTCCCAATGATCCATGTCAAAGCAAAGACAAAGTACTTAAAAAAGAAACTTTTCAAGATAATTTTAACATAAACACATACCTCGGGAATATGTGAAACAGTTGGCATATCAATTTCTCTTTCTGGTATAAGTTCCACATCTGGTGAAATTTCTTTCCTATCTTCAGGAAGAGTAGAGGTCTCCTTATATTAATGTGAAAATGTGCATATATGTTATTTTGTATTTTGTATTAAATCCTAAATCATCCTAAGACTTTTTCACACACACACACACACACACACACTCTTAGCATTTACTCTCTTAACAATTTTTATATATAACATATAGCAGTATTAATTGTATTTATCATGTTGGACATTACATCTCTAATACTTATTTACACTTTACAACTGGAAGTTTGTACTTTTGACCACATTCATCCAATTCTCCCTTCCCCATCCCCTGCTTCTGGTAACCAGAAATCTGATCTTTTTTCCTATGAGCTTTTTAAAATTTATTTTTAATTGGAGGACAATTGCTTTATAACATTGTGCTGGCTTCTGCCATACAACAGCGTGAATCAGCCACAAGCAGACATGTGTCCCCTCCATCCTGAAGCTTCCAGCCAACCCCTGCCCCATCGCGCCCCCTCACGGTTTTCTCAGCGCACCGGGTTGGACACCCAGTGCCCACACAGCAGCTTCCCACTGGCTCTCTATCTAACACATGGTAGTGTATCTATGTGGTTTTGAAGTATAACTGACCTGTAACACTGTGTTAGTTTTCTGTTAAATAACACAGTGATCTGATATTTCTATACATTTCAAAATGATCACTACAATAAGCACAGTGGTTAGGCTGTGTCAGCATACAAAGACACCACTCAGTTACTGACTGTGCTCCCCACACTGTACATTTCATACCCATGACCCATCCGTTTTACAGTCGGGCGTCTGTATCTCCTAATCTCTTTTGTCTGTTTTTTCTTCCCCTCAACCCCTTAGCAACCACACTTGTTCTTTGTTTCCGAGACTATCTGTGGCTATGTCTCTGTTTTGTTGTGTTTGCTCATCCCTTTTGTTTTTTGGATAAGGTCTCTTGACCTAGATGCAGACTGAGAAGAGAAGGGGTCTAGGTGAATGAGAAGAATGAGCTAAGCTGGAGGAAAAATAGGGGAGCATGGTATCCCAGAGGCCAAGGGAGAAAGGAGCAAGCGTTCCACTGCGCCAAAAGTTACTGGGGGATTAAGACAGGCACAGAGAATTGGCCACTGGATATAGCAAAGTGAAAGTCATTGTGACCTTAGCAAGAGTGATTTTAATGAGGAAAAGTTTTACTAGTGTGAGCAAGGAAGAGTTTTGAGGAAAGGGAGACAGAATTAAGACAACTTTTTGAAGAGTTTTGTTCTGTTTTGCTTTATGGTAAATGGGGAAAGAGGACTGGGGGTGATATCTGGAGAGAGACATGGGGCCAACGGAAGATTCAGATCAAGAGTAAGATTGTTTAACATTTACACCCAGTGCCAATTACAAAGGTAAAATTATAAAGGAAGAAGTGTTTTATTTACCTGTTTCCATTTAATCAGGTAGGGTATACTACTCATTTATTTAAAATATTTGTTATGTGGGGTGAGGGTGGGGGGGAAGCAGTATTTTGAATGTTTACTACTTACATAATGCTGATGTGGTGTGATATCCATAAAAGATACCTTCTTATCTTTAGGTGTTAAACGTCTTGGTTTAGGTGTTGGTGCCTAAGATAAACCAATATGTCAAACTGAGCATAATGAACATACTTTTCAGATTTCTTTTCTCTTTTATGTGGCTATTTATTAAGGAATAATAATAATAATTATGTAGGAATAATAATTTTATAGGAAATTCAAAGTCACTGTTACTCACTACAATTCGTGCACTAACAGAGGATGGAGGTAGTCTTTGAACAACCTCTGGCTCTTCTTTGTGTATGAAATTTCCTAAGTCTTCAGTAGTTATGGAACCACTAGGTGGAAGGTAAGCAAATTTCCATTTCAATATAACATGAATGGTTCCGGCAGGATGCTTTTTATCATCTGTTAACTCAAATATTCCTGTCAAATTACAAAAATAATTGTAATTAATGCTAGAGGGAAGTTTTATTACCATAAGAATTAAAGAACAGCAAAAAGAAACTACCCACAACTTTAAAAATAAACTTAGCTTTTACTCACAACTCAAATGGCTTAAGAGAATAAAATAAGACAAAAGGATCTATGACAGCTTCATTTCTCAAGCACACTGCTTTTAAAAGTTAAGACCTCACAGATAATACTGATTCAAAGAGGAGAAAATTGACTTATAAATATTTAAATTCATTGAAATTAAATTCAGAGATTCTTCAGAATTTTTAGCCTTCTTCCAAGATATTATGTGGGTTATAACTCAAATAAGAACCTTCATTTTGACTTGATATTCTTGTGTCTCTGTAGAAAAATACATTAAAACTTCAAAATTTATCTATATATAATACATAATAATGTATATATCCTAAGGAGTCCTTATATTACTACATTATTCTATTATAATTTTAAATACATTTTACTGGGATCTGTTAAATCATTCCAAATTAATAGTAGCACAGCAAAAAAAAAATGTCTAGAAAATAAACAAACCACCCAAAACATAAAGTATCACCTCGCTGAATATCTAATACTGAGTCACACATTTTAATCATTATACTAGAGTTTTCAATACAAAAATCCCTGACCTGAAAAAAAAAACCTATATTTCAAGCATAACTTTTGTTTAGGGGTATCCTTTACTTGGTTCTCAAGTGTTTGACACTCCTTCTAATGGCTGGCTAGGAAAAACTAAACAACTCTAGACTTTAGGTAGAAAAAAAGGAATACAGGGAGGTGAGAAACTTCTATTATAGGCACAGGTGAGATATACGGAATGGCTGAGTGAAGAGATCAGTAAATATTTTCCACAAAAAAGCAATGGTAACACCACATAAAATGATAAAAAATATTCATTTAAGAACTCCAGAAATTGATCAAAGGTATACAACAAATTAACAAGCACTTGTTCAAGAAAATCTACTGAACCTCAGTAAGAACAATAAGAGTCAGAAAAGACTCTAGTCTACTTGGCAAATAGATGGGGAAAAAAGGGAAACAATGACAGACTTATCACTGTGGATGATGACTGCAGTTACAGAATAAAAAGACACTTGCTCCTTGGAAGAAAAGTTATGACGAACCTAGTGGTTTAGTTGCTAAGTTGTGCCTGACTCTTGTGACCCCACAGACTGCCAGGCTCCTCTGTCCATGGATTCTCCAGGCAAGAATACTGGAGTGGGTTGCTATTTCCTTCTCCAGGGGATTTTCCCAACCCAGAAATCGAACCTGGGCCTCCTGCATTGCAGGCAGATTCATCAACTAAGCTATGAGAGCTACCTGATAAACCTAGACAGTATATTAAAAAGCAGAGACATCACTTTACCAACAAAGGTCCATATAGTCAAAGCTATGGTTTTTCTAGTAGTCCTGTACGGATGTGAGAATTGGACCATAAAGAAGACTGAACACCGAAGAATTGATGCTTTTGAACTGTGGTGCTGGAGAAGACTGTTGAGAGTCCCTTGGACAACTAGGAGATCAAATCAGTTGATCCTAAAGGAAATCAACCCTGAATATTCACTGGAAGGACTGATGTTGAAGCTGAAGCTCCAGTATTTGACCACTCAATGGACATGAGTTTGAGCAAACTCTGGGAGATGGTGAAGGACAGGGAAGCCTGGCATGCTGCAGTTCACAGGGTCACAAAGAGTCGGACATGACTTAGCAATTGAACAACAAGAAGCTACTTGTCCCTGGCTGAATGTGAGACTTATAGACTATCTAAACATTGAATGCATTACCTAAGCCATACATTGACCCACAGGCAAAGGGTGGAAGCCTGACAGCTCAAGGTGTTTGAACACAACTTTCAACAACCACAGGCTGACCACTAAACTATGTTCAGGCTTAAAATTAAGACAAAAACTTAGCAGAGACATCAGTGGCTACAGCAAGGGAAACAAAACTACAGAAATGATACAGGCCAAGTCACCAAACAAACAATAACAGCAACAGAAATCCTGTGGAGGGTTAGAATCTATGGATGCTAAAATACGGTGTCCTGAATGTCCAAATTTAAACAACAGCAAAAAAAATTCATGAGCTACACAAAGAAACAGGAAGGAGGATGTGCTACATACCCAGATAGAGTGTCACCCAGAGATGCTTTCTCAGGGCATCCAGATGTTAGACTCAGCAAAGACCTCAGAGCAGCTATTGTAAATATGTTCAAAGAGCCAAAAAAATAAATTTAAAGAATTAAAGGAAAGTCGATGACAATGAATTATAAAACAGAGAACATAATAAAGAGAGAGAAATTATAAAAAGAGAACTAGAATATATTATAAAATATGGAATAGAGCCAATATTTTATAACTATAAATGGAGTATAACCCTTACAAATGACAAATCACTATGTTGTATACCTGTAACATATTATACATCAACCATATCTCAATAAAAAGAGACAGTACTAAAAAGGAGTTCTGGAGTTGAAAAGTATAATTACTGAAATGAAAAAATTCAATAGAGGGGCTTAGTAGGAGATATGAGCTGGCAGAAGATTCAATGAACTTGAAGACTAATCAATAGTGATTATCCAAGCTGAAAAGAAAAAAAAATGAAGAAAAATGAACAGAGCCTCAAATACCTGTAGGACACCATTAAACATATGAACATATGTGTAACAGGAACCTAAGAAGTGGAAGAAAGGGCAGAAAAACATAACTGAAGAAATAAGGGCAGAAAACTCCCCAAATTAGATACCTAATAGTACCCGATACATAAAGAAGCTCAACAAATTATAAGTAGAAAAAGCACAAAGGGATACACAACTAAACACATGATAGTGGTATTGTTGAACGACCTCCCCCACTCCCAAAGAAAATCTTGAAAACTGTACAATGTATTAGGGAACATAACAAGATTAACTGATGATTTCTCATTAGAAACAATGAATGCCAGAATCAACTGTCTGATATACTGAAGTGCTTAAATAAACTAAACCTGACAGCTAAGAATATGATATCCAGCAAGACTATCCTTCAGAAAATAAAAGCTACATATAAAGACACTGCCAGATAACAATGCTTAAGTGAATTCACTGCCAGCAGACCTGACTCACAAGACAAATTAGAAGAATTTCTTCAGGCTAATAGGAAGTAATACCAGATGGTAATTCACATCGATATGAAGAAACAGAGGTAAATAAAGGTAATTACATAGGTAATTAGAAAAACTATAAATACATTTTTCCTCATTTCTTAACTGATTTAAAGAACAACTGCATAATTACAAAATTATAATCTTGGATTTATAATATATAAAGATAAAAAAATACATGAAATAATAACAAAAGATGGAGAGGAAATAGAGCTATTTGGAGTAAGAAAATGACATCAGACAGTAACTCAAACCCAAATGAAGATATAAATACCAGAGATGCTAAATACATAAGTTAATATAAAAGTCTCCTATATCTATTCTCCCTTCTCTTAAAGGCCATAAAGTTATATAAAGCAATAACTAACATTGTACTGTTGGGTTTATAAGACATATAGGTATATCATATATATATATATATGACAATGTAATCACAAAGGAAGTGGGAGGGAATGGAATTATATTGGGGCAGAGTTTTCTAAATTTCAGTGAAAGTTATTAGCATTAAGTGCATTGGGTCACATTGAGGTGCATACTATAATCCTTAGAATAACTATTAAGAAAATGATTATAAAAATATAATATTGTCGGCCCAAAGTTTAAGATTATCTTAGAAGGCTAGAAAGATTAGTTACAAATAGATCATATCAATAACACCGAGGAACAATTTAGGTCTTTTTTTTAAAAACAATTTCATGGATTCAAGAAATACGCTTACCTGAAATACATCTGTCATGTGCCAATGAAATCAGAGGCACATTGACTTTTCCTATGTAAATATTCTCCTGGGTATCACTATCATCAAATACATAAAAACTCAGAGACTCTGACTTAAGGTATCGATCCAAATCCATATTCATTGGCACTGGGAAACACATATGATCATCAAATTGTGGATCATTGCTACTGGGAATGATGGCTGTGTCATGGTCTGCAAAATCAAAAAACTTGTACACAACATATGGGTGTGGCTGCAGGTGGCTTGCTCGGGACTGCAGGTGGTTGCAACATCTTATTGTAATATGAAGTTCATTTAAGTTGCCATCTGTGGAATCAGTAGAACTGAGCTGAGCAGTTTTGGGTGCTTGATGACTTAACTGGAAAAACATACATATTTATATTACAGTAGTAATACAACGAAAAGTAAACAGCAGCTGCCAACCCCCAAACACAATAATTTTGTAAATGGACCAAAAGACTGCAGATTTTCACTTCATAGTGAATTTCTCAGTAAAAGACTCTTGACACTTATTCAAAACCAATATTCTCTAGAACCTGTGTACAGACGCTGTTAACAGAAACTGTAAAAGACTGAGCATACATGTAGAGATTGCTGTTAAAACAAACAAAAATAAATAAAGCCAAGAAAAGAGTCTGATCTTTTTTAATTCTATTTAATGCTTAACAGGTAAAATGAGCAGATAGGTTCAAAGATAAATGTCCCCTAGTTTACAATTTTATTAAGAGCTAATCCTTCAACCATTCCATTATTCCGATCATATCACATTCTTAAGTGAGAACTAATGAACTTGATGGTACCCACTCAGAGAGATGATTTTGTTATATTTGGGTTGGCCCTCATCCTGAACCAATGGGATCTGGGGACGCGGATACCTGAGGCCAAGGAACAGGGGAACAGAGTGAGAGAGAAACTTTGGAGGGGTAAAATCTTGGCTCGGAGGGACTTTTCGGAAGAGAAGTGAGCTAAGGGAGTTATCGGGAGAGTTGGAAACTGCTCCATGGCCCGCTACAGAACCGTGACTCAGGCAATCGGCGCACAAGTACTCTAGCGAACAGCTGCCCTGACGAGCTGCTACGCCTTTCGTAGCCGATGTGATCTGGGACAAAACAACGCAGTGTTGCAATGTCAGAGAATTCTCCACCTCCCATGCAGGGGCCCCTCTTTCACTGTGTTTTTGAACCTGGATTGAACAACTGGAACTTTTGATTCTAGAGAAGCTTATGAGAGAAAGAAAACAGAACTGAAGTCATAATCTCCTTAGTGGAGACATCTGGTGGTATGGATGGGGGAAATCTGAGAAGGGAATCACAGTACTGCTCTCCCAGGGCTAGTTTGCATCTAGCTATAGAGGGCTGAGTGGAATGATTTACAAAGTACCCCTTCTGCTTCTCCCCTCAAGCCTACCCACAAAAGCTGAAGTTCCACCAGTAAATGGCTCATTCAAAGAGTCTAAAACTCTTCAAATTACAAAAATTAATAAACCATGTGGTTTCACTATTTCTACTTCCTTTTCTCATAATGGCATTTCTCAAGGTGTGCTCTGAAGAACATTAATCCAGAAAGATGATCGCTGGGAAATGGGTGCCATTCTTTAAGTCTGGGAATCAACATTATATTAATCATGGTTCTTTTAATTGAAAGCTATAAAAACTGATTTCACCAAGCAAATACCATGAAAAAAGACTTTAATATAAGAGCATGCACAGTCACTCAGTCATGTCTGATTCTTTTGCAACCCCATGGACTGTAGCCCACCAGGCTCCTCTGTCCATGGAATTTTCCTGGGAAGAATACTGGAGTGGGTTGCCATTTCCTTCTCCAGGGGATCTTCCCAACCCAGGGATCGAATCCACATCTCTAACATCTGGTATTGGCAGGTGGCTTCTTTATCACTGCTCTACCTTGGAAGCCTTTAATATAAGGCTATAGGGCTATTTCACAGAACTGTGTAGCAGAATTGTGGTTGTGTCTTAGGAAGGGAATGGGACTGTAAAACTATAGGAATTTACTTTCCATCTAGTTCTTCATTTTTCTCTGTATGCTTGCTCATTATTCTCCTTCTAGATACATTTTCTTTCCTTTGCAGTTTAACATGGTAGCAGATGGCTGCCCCATAGTTCCCAGCTTCACACGTTTCAGCGATGGAGTCTTACTTTCTCTTGATCTCAGAAAGCAGAATCTGATTGGCTCAGTTGGAGGCGGGTGGCTATTATTAAATCATTAACTATAATTGAGTGGAGTGGGAGAGAGCAGGGTCATCAAATGTAAAGCTGGCCACCGGGGGCCCAGCCCCATGGATTGGAAGAGAGGGCAGTTCCAAATGAAAAAAGAGAACTGTGCCTTGAACAGACATTCCAAAATATTTCTACTATATTATATCCCTTTGTCACTTAAGTGTATACTTCATGCTTCCTCTTGAGATTCGAATTATACTCAAATCTCAAAATAAGCCCTAAAGTCAAGGATCTTATTTAACTTTGCTCAATTCAGTCTTTTCTGCATTTATTGGACCATGGAATTCTTCTGGAAATAAGACTGTTAAGACTTCATGAAACACAGTTTGGAAAATGCTACTCTGAGGAATTGCTTTTAAACCTCTAATTCCCAGTAAAAGAATATTCATTTTACATTCTACTTTGCATTTCAGAAAGCTACAGGTTTCTGAAACAGCTTGGAAGAAGTTGGAAACGGCTGGAAAAAAAGAATAACTGAAACTCCAAGAATAGCTATTCATTTCCTTAACAGCAGAAATTGTAATGAAAGTTACAGCTGATATTAGCATTGCAATTCTATTTTTCAAAAGTGTCCTGGATAGCACAAGGGAGTTCCTTTGGGGTGACAGATCAATTCTGTATCTTGATTGTGGTGGCTGTTACATGATTATATACACAAGATAAAACTGCATTGAACTTTGCTTCTTCCTACACAAACAACATACACACATACACAAATAACACTGTACACTCATACACATAAGTGCATGTAAATCTTAGAAAATCTGAATAAAGTCTGTAGCCTAGTTAATAGTACTAGCCTAGTTAATAGTACTGTACCAATGTCAATTTCCTGGCTTTGATACTATACTATAGTTACATAAAATATTACAACTGGGAGAAGCAGGGTGAAGGCTACACAGGACCTCTGTACATTTTTGCTACTTCCTGTTAAGTCTATGATTATTTCGACATAAAAGTTTAAAAAAAAGCCACTTGATGGCTGTGAAAGAAAGTGATTTCAGTTTAAAGCATGGTAATATAAAGAAATACTATAAAATTTCCGTGTCATAAAAGGCTTGTAAAGTCAAACAACCTTACCCATTGCATTTGCTCTGGCCCCTTAAAATTTGATGTTATGTATCCCAAAGCCTTTGCCCGTTCTCGATAAAGCCGAATCGCTTGATCCATGGGAACCCTTAATCGGAACCAGTATTCCACTGTGCCAAAATTGGAGATGTCTCCTTTAGTTCCTACAAACCGATACATAATTCACTGTTAAAATGGCCCCATAAATCAAAATATATACCAGTAAAACATACATCAATGGTATTAGGCATTAAAACTATAAATTTTATACTGAATAAAATAATATATGACTTGCACAGATGGTGTGTGACTGGCAAATAACAGAGAAAAAGAGAATAAGTTACTTCTGCAAGTATGAGTTTCACTGTGTGTTAAATATTATTAAAAAACTATGTTGAGGTAGTCCAGTTCACACTATTTCAATCCTTCTAACACATAAAAAGATTTTTTCCTGATGCTATTTTTTCTTTTTTTTTAAACAAGCTGCACTCAATGCAGTCTGACAGATACAATATGAAACCTCAAAACTATGAATGTGATATTCCACATTATAATTCAAATTTCAAGAAATCTTTGGCACCTTCCTCATTTTTCTCCTGTACCATAAGTACAGGGGAAAACACCATACCTATTGCCAAATCTATACTGTACGTAAAATACCCTTGCATGTCTGCCCTGCACATCTTCAGTCCTTCTCACAACTCTGGCTCTTTATCTCTCTTCCTCTATGATGACTTCCTCTATGGCTCCCTGCTTCCTTTGCAGGAATTGAGGACTATGTCCTTATTAGGGCACTGACTGCTTTGGTAACTGTCACTTCACCAGTTTACTTCTCTGCCACGCTAAGTTTCTGAGGGCAGGACTTTTTGAACCATGTGAATATACTATCTATGCAATCAATAAGATAAAACCCCTCCCCAGAACCTAAGTCACCTTTCTTTCTTGAGAAAGCTTCTTCACTTATACTCTCGGTTTATCTCCCTCTTCACCGGTGACTCCTCAGTTTCATTTTGCTGGCTCTTCCTCTTCTTCTCGAATGCTAAATTTTAGAGTTTCCCAAGGCTCAATCTTTGGTCCTTTTCTCTTCTTTATGTACAGTTACTCTCTATGTGGAATTATCTGGGTCCAAGGCTTAAAATATATTCTGTATGCTAATGAATCCCACTTTTATATCCCTGACCTTCAGACTGTTATATCCAACTGCTTATGTGACATTTCCACTTGGCTGTATAATAGGCAGGTCAGTCTTGTTCAGACACATCTTAAGTTTTCTTCCTCAAATTTGTTCCTCTCCCTGACCTATTTCAACAAATGGCCTCATCATTTTCCTGGTTGTTCACACCAAAACTCTTACCTTGTCTGTTTCTCTTGTTTCTCTACATTCAGTTGATGAACAAGTTTTTAAAGAAGTTAATCAAACCTACACTGAATATGACTACTTCTTATCACTACTTTTACTACCATCTTAATCCAAGCCACCATCCTCTTTCCACAGATTAATGCAATAGCCTGAAAATGGTCCTATTTTCCCTCTTGGCCTGTATAGACTATTCTTCCCACAGCACCCGGCATGGTTCTTCTAATACCTATGTGTGTCGGACTTCCCTGGTGGTGCAGTGGATAAGAATCCACCTGCCAATGCACAGGACATGGATTCAATCCCTGCTTCGGGAAGATTCCACATGCTATGGAGCAACTAAGACCATGTACCAGACCTACTGAGCCCGAGTGCTGTAATTACTGAAGCCTGTGAGCCTTTGCTCCGCAACAAGAAAAGCCACCTGCAACTAGAGAGTAGCCCCCACTTGCTGCAACTAGAGAAAGCCAGAGTGCAGCAATGAAGACCCAGTACAGCCAAACGAACACACAAAAAACTATGTGTGATCTCATAACTCACCTTCTCAAAACTATCCAACGACTTGCATCACTCAAAGAAAAAAAAAGTCCAAACATGACCCACAAAGCTCTGCAGCATGATCTGATCCCTGCCTAGTGCTTTAATGTCAGCTCTGCTCTCCTCACAGGCCTCCTCGACGTTCCTCCAATTGGTCAGGTTTGTTTTTCCCTCAGGCCTTCGTGCTTGCTGTTTCCTCTGCCTGAAACAATCCTCCCCTGGATCCTGATAACACTTTCTAAAGTGTTTATTTATTTGGCTGTGGGCCCGAGTTGCAGCACAGGCGTGGGCCTAAGCTGCCCCACGGCTGATATGGATCTTTACTCAGGTCTCTATCAAGGTCATCCTGTAGGGAAGTCCTTATCTCAACAAGCAACCTTCTCTCTCTCTAGCCTCTTGCCCCGATCATCTTTCTTCATATCTAAGGATAGGTGTATAGTTTTATGGCCCGTCTTCCCCTCTAGAAGGTAAGCTACAGGAGGGCAGGGGCTTCAGCTGTCTTATTTATCACCAATCACAGTATTCCCAGTGCTTAGTAACAGTGATAACGGTATGCTCTTTAAAAAATATTTGATCAACATACTATAATTAATGTTTAATCAAACAAAGATATCAACATGGCAAATAAACATTTGTACTAAGAAGCTTTAAAAAATTAACAGCCATTGTACTGATATTATCAGTGACATTTAAGAGTGCAATCAACAGTGGGCAACTGAATGAAAGAAAACTGCCCTTACCTAAAGGCACCTTGAATTTGTGAGAGAAGATACTAATGTGAAATGCCTTATAGATATAGAAACCAATCAGGGATTCAAACAGCCGAAGTCTGTAAGACTATACTCACCAACCAAACTTGCTGTGCAAAATATTCGACCGCTTTTTTCTAGAATTTCATGGAATCTCAACTGACAAGCTGCGATTGTTTCATAATCTGTGCTGTAAGCCTGGTGGACCTCAAGAGTGACAGTGTTTTTCTGAATGTATTGTAAGAATAAGTCATTAACATGAACGAGGTATTGAGAAGTAAAGTTATATTCTGGGTGAAGGCCCCGTACTATGGGAGTTGTCTGTAGTTCAAAATCATAGAAAGCGTAGGTACAGAAGGTGACAGGCTCTTTATCCCCAGATGCCTGTAAAACTTCGGAAGAAAAGGTTACTTTGTTGATATGGATTTCAAATAGGTTTTCGCCTCGTTCTAAGTGAATGGTTTCATCAAATTCATCAACTGAGTCATCTGGCATGATTTCCGGCTTAAATTTGTACTGCTTGGTGCCGTAGGCAATATCCTTTAATTGGGCTGCAAGAGAAGACACACAGTTTAGAGGTTTTAAGTGTTGACATATAAAGATATAAAGATACATATGAAGTGGTAGGAAATCTGATGGCTTTTGGTGTATAGTCCCAATCAAATTCTACAGTTACACTTTTTCTGTAATTGATACTGTGTTTTAAAGAAATCTATCATTTATTTTGACATCATTAGTTAAAAAATGACAACTTAAGTGGTAATACAGGATATGCCAGGGAAAAGGAGAAAGAAAAAGAAAAAAAAAAAAAAGGCTGTTGAATGAATAACTGAGGTAAATATTTAGATTCCACTTGCTGCTTTGGTTTGGCTCTATTATCTTCTCTCCCTTAAAATCAATTTCTCTTTCCACTGCTACCTACTTGTCAGTTTATCCAAATATATATTTTTCTACTTTTGGGGATGATGGATATGTTTATTATCCTGATTATGGTGATAGTTTCACAGATGTATATATAGGCCAAACTCCCAAACTGTGCACTTTAAATATGTGCAATTTAAAGTATGTTCATCCAAAGAAATGAAAACTTTTAAAAGTTGTGGTATGATCGGAAATTTAAATACTGATTAGAAATTTTATGATAGTAAATAAGTATTGTTCATTTTTAGGTGTAATTGTATTGTTATTTTTTAAGACCTCAGTTAGATGCATCCTGAAATATTTATTGATGAGATGATGTGGTATCTGAGATTTGTTTCAAAAGGATATGGGTAAGATAGAAGGGAGTTGGGGATACAGATGAAAAAAGATTGGCCATGAACTGATTGATTATGTGATAAGTACATCAGAGTTTACCATACAATTATTTCCACTCATATATGTTTGAACTTTCCCATAATGAATTAAAGTTTTTTTTCATAATAAAACCATTATGCTGGGGAAAAAATATATTCATTATAATTCTATAAAGTTGCTCTTAAAAATATATATATCTTTCTAGATTAGAATATTCCCTCACATCATATACAAAAATAAATTCAAAATGGTTTAAAGATATAAGTGTAAAACCTGAAACCATAAAACTCCCAGAAGAGAACACAGGCAGAACACTCTTTGACTTAAATTAGTTATAGCAATATGTCTTCTGGATCTGTCTCCTAAAGCAAAAGAAATAAAAGCAAAACTAAATAAACTGGATCTAATTAAACTTAAAAGCTTTTGGACAGCAAAGGAAATTACTGACAAAACAAAAAGATAATCTACTCAATGCAGGAAAATATTTACAAATGATGTGACCTACAATGGGCTAACACCCCAAATACATAATATGAAAAAATGAAACCCAATATGAAAAAAACCCAAAAAACTTCATTAAAAATGGCAGAAGACCTGAATAGATACCAAAGAAGACATACAGATGGCTGACAGGCACATGAAAAGATACTCAAAATTGCTAATTATTAGAGAAATGCAAGTAAAAACCACAATGAGATATCACCTCACACCTGTCAGAATGGCTATCATGAAAAAGTGTACAAATAACAAACGCTGGTGAGGGTGTGGAGAAAAGGAAACACTTGTATGCTGGTGGTGGGAATATAAACTAGTACAACCACTATGGTAAGTAGTATGGAGGTTCCTCAAAAAATTAAATAAAAACTACCATATAATCCAGCAATTCCATTCCTGGGTACACATCCAGAAAAAACCAAAAACACAAACTGAAAAAGATAATACACGCACCCCAATGTTCTGCTAAGCTGTGTCTGACTCCTTGCAGCCCCATGAACTGTAGCACGCCAGGCTACCCTGTCCTTCATTATCTCCCTGAGTTTGGTTAAATTCATGTCCATTGAGCCGGTAATGCTATCTAACCATCTCATCCTCTGCTGCCCCCTTCTCCTTTTGTTGTCAATCTTTCCCAGCATGAGGAATGAGGGTCTTTTCCAGTGAGTTGGCTCTTCCCATCAGGTGGCCAAAGTATTGAAGCTTCAGCTTCAGCATCAGTCCTTCCAATGAATATTCAGGGTTAATTTCCTTTCTAATTGACTGGTTTGAGCTCCTTGCTGTCCAAGGGACTCTTAAGAGTTTTCTCCAACATCGCCATTTGAAAGCATCAAGTTTTTGATGCTCAGTCTTCTTTATGGTCCAACTCTCATCTCACATTCATACATGACTACTGGAAAAACCACAGCTTTGACTATACAGACCTTTGTTGGCAAAGTGATGTCTCTGCTTTTTAATACACCATCTAGGTTTGTTATAGCTTTTCTTCCAAGGAGCAAGTGTCTTTTAATTTCATGGCTGCAGTCACAGTGATTTTGGAGCCCAAGAAAATAAGATCTATCACTGCTTCCACTTTTCTCCCTTCTATCTGCCACCATGATGTGATGGGGTCAGATGCCATGATCTTAGTTCTTCTGTTGAGTTTTAAGCCAGCTTTTTCACTCTCCTCTTTAACCCTCATCAAGAGGCTCTTTAGCTCCTCTTTACTTTCTGCCATTAGACCGTTATCATCTTCTTAACTGATGTTGTTGGTATTTCTCCTGACAGTCTTGATTCCAGCTTGTGATCCATCTAGCCTGGCATTTCGCATGATGTACTCTGTATATAAGTTAAATAAGCAGGGTGACAATATACAGCCTTGATGTACTCCTTTCCCAATTTTGAACCAGTCTGCTGTTCCTTGTCCAGTTCTAACTGTTGCTTCTTGACTTGCAAACAGGTTTTTCAGGAGGCAGGTAAGGTGGTCTTGTATTCCTATCTCTAAGAATTTTCCAGAGTTTGTTGTGATCCACACAAAGGCTTTAGCATAGTCAGTGAAGAAGTAGATGGTGTTCTGGAATTCCTTTGTTTTCTCTGTGATTCAATCAATGTTCATAGCAGCACTATTTACAACAGCCAAGACCTGGAAGGACCTAAGTGCCCATCAACAGATGAGCAGGTAAAGAAGATGCTATACACACATACACACACACACACACACACACACACACACACACACATATATATAAGGGAATATTACTCAGCCATAAAAAGAATGAAATTCTGATATTTGCAGCAAGGTGGATGGACCTAGAGAATATTATACGTAGTGAAATAAATCAGAGAAAGACAAATAGTGTATGACATCACTTGTACATGGAACCTAAAAATGATACAAATTCATGTATATGTAAAGCAGAAGCAGACCTCACAGATACAGAAACAAGCCTGTGGTTACCGAAGGCAAGAAGGAAGAGGAGGGACAAACTAGGGAGTCTGGAATTAGCAGATACATACTACCATGTATGAAATAGATAAGCAACAAGGGTATATTGTATAGCACAGTGAATTATAGCCATTATCTCATAATATCTTATAATGAAGTATAATTTACAAAAATATTGAATCATTATGCTGTACATCTGAAACGAATATACTGCAAATCAACTACACTTCAATAAAAAAATAAAATGATATGTCTCTTTCTAAATACACATCTTCCCCCAGGTTACATCCAAACTTCTAAAGAGTAATGTCTACTTGTGTCTCCTATTCTTCATGTAACAGACACTCTTCCATCTCCTGCGAAAAGCATCTGCTTTACTTTTCTTGTGTAACTACTCCAGAAAAAGTCACCAATAACCAACTGATTTCTAGAGTGAACGGACTTTGGTCCTGCGTTACTTTGGGATTGGAATGAAAACTGATCTTTTCCAGCCCTGTGGCCACTGCTGAGTTACTTGATTTCCTTGCTTAACTGACAATGAAGACCACATCCTCTTCTGTGAACTTCTGTGGGATTCCATGTCGTCATCTGCCCTGCTTCTCCTCCTACCAGTCTTCTCATTCCTTAAGGGTTTCTCTGCTGGTTTGCCAGGCTTCTGCTTTTATCCGTTTTTTAGTCTACGTTTCATGAGTAATTGTATCCCTCTTTACTTTTTAATTAAGTTGAAATATCGTTGACTTACAATCTTGTACTAACTTCTGCTGTATGGCAAAGTGACTCAGGTATACACAAATATACATGTTCTCTACGGTTTATCCCAGGAGACTGGATACAGTTCCCTGTGCGATACAGCAGGACCTTGTTGGTTTTTCATCCTAAATGTAACAGCTTGCACCTATGAACCCCAACCTCATGGTCCGTCCTCCTCCCCCCTCCCCTCCCCCTTGGCCACTGCAAGTCTGCTCTCTGCATCTGTGATTCTGTTCTGTAGACAGGTTTACTGTGTCATATTTTAGTTTCACATATAAGTGATACTGTATGGTGTTTCTCGTTCTCTCTCTGACTTAGTTCATTTAGTATGATAATCTCTAGCTGTATCCATGATGCTGCAAAAGGCATTATTTTGCCCATTTATGACTGGGCAGTATACCATTGTATCTATGTGCTACATCTTCTTTATCCGTTCCTCTGCTGATGGACGTTTAGGTTGTTCCTATGTCTTGGCCATTGTGAACAGTAATACTGTGAACATAGGGGTGCATATATCTTTTTGAATCATAATTTAGTCTGTGTTTATGCCCAGGAGTGGGACTGCTGGATCATACGGTAATTCTGTTTTTAGTTTCCTGAGGAACCTTCATACTATTTTCCATAGTGGATGCACCAATTTTTATTCCCACCAATAGTGTGGGAGGATTCCCTTTACTCCACACCCTCTCAAATATTTTTATCTGTAGACTTAAAAATTTTTTTTAATTTATTTGTCTGCATGAGCTCTTAGTTGTGGCATGCAGATCTTCAGTTGCAGCATGTGGGATCTAGTTCCTTGACCAGGGATTGAACCTGGGCCCCCTGCATTGGGAGCACAGAGTCTTAATCACTGCACCAGGGAAGTCCTGTTATTTGTAGACTTTTTGATGATGGCTCTTTTGACTTGTGTGAGGTGGTACCTCATTGTAGTTTTTATTTGCATCTCTCTAATAATTAGTAATCCCATCCCCTTTTATGACTTCGGTTACTATCAATATACTGAAGACTCAATATTTCTATTTTTAATTCAGATTTCTTTCCTAACTAACAGACCCACACATTAAGTGGCTTGCTGAGCCCTCTATCCAGATACTCTCTAGGCACATCAAATTTAATATACCTAAAGGAGAATGACTCATATTCTCTTCTAGTTCCTTCTGGACTTTGAAGTCCAAGTGAATGTTGTTAGCCTACACCCAGCTGCCTAAGCTAGATACCACGGAGTCACCCTAGGTTGCTCTTTGTCTTTGGGCTCCCCGCATCTGTAGGGTCACTGATATTCAAAAACATTTCCTAAGTCTTCAGCAAATCTGTCCATGTCTTCTCCATCTCGACTGATGCTACCTTACTTACACCCAGACTGTTTATTACCTAGATTATTATTGGAGCCCAAACTTCTTCATTCCTTCAAATTTTACTCATTCTTCCCAATACCTACAGCATAGTCTCCAAAATGTGGTTTTGTGTACTACTTCCTACCCCAAAGATTCCTTGGTGCTTCTCTAGGTTAATAAGGTTCAAACTCATTCAGGTGGCAAACACGGCCTTCAGCATTTGGTTCTTTCCAGCTTTGTCTCCAGGTTTTCCTCCTTTATCAATCCTGAGTTCCAAACTGATGAAATCATACACAATTTCTTAAATCAATGGTGGTGCTTCACATGTAGGGCATTTTTACCTGCCTCATCTACTGCCTGGAATGACTTTCACTGTTTTTATTTAGTGGTGAATTCTGTCATTATTAAAGACTCCAAGCCCACTGTAAGGAGTCGTCTCTGAATCTTCAGATATAAACAGGCATTCTCTCCTCAATGTTTCCTAGGTAGCTTTTTCATTTTCCTAACTTCACACTCTTCACGGTAAAGTGTGCCTACTTACTTGTTGACATCTTGTGAGTTCGAGCTTTTTTCCTATTTGTATTCTCACTGCCTAGCACTTTGCTTATGATATGTTAGGAACAGGAGCATCATCAATGAATTTAGGAAACAAAATATATTGCTAAAGACTTAGTGACACTTGAAAGGAATGAAAATCTCAAACTATGTGACCTTCTTGTTACTCATGAAAATTTCATTAAGCAAATTTTTATTGAGTACTTCTTGAAATAAAAGGAACACATGCTCTTTGACTTTCAGAAACCCTGTTCAGTCAGATAGATTATTTATTGAATTCTTCTACTTAGAGCAGTGGTTCTCAGAGTGTGGTCTGGGAACCCTTGAGGGTTCCTGAGGCTGTTCTGGAGGTCTGTGAGGTTAAAACTATTTTTAAAATAATACTAAGATGTTATTTGCCTTTCTCATTCTTATTCTCTTACAAATGTATAATAGGGTTTCCCACAATCTACAGGATGTGTGATATCATAACTGATTGACTGCAGAAGCAGATATAAAAACCCAGCTGTTTTCTATTAAGACAGACACTAAAAAGACATACAAAAATGCTAAACAATTTAAAAAGTTTAAAACAGTGTCACTCGTCTCATTGTTCTTTTGGTATGAAAAATGCAGCTTTTAAAAAATAAATACTGTAATTTATGTCAAATATGTAATGGGTTTATTATTATTATTTAAGCATGACAAATATTTTTAAAATTTCTCATTTTTAATTTCTAATATGATAAATATCTTAAGTATAACCCATATAAACTCGCGCCTTTTTGGATTCTCAGTGATCTTTAAGAGTGCAAAATTACTGCTGGTATAGATCACCGAGTTTAAGTGCTGCATGGCAGAGAACATGAAAGAGAGACAAAGTATCATTGGAAAATTTATATACTGTAGTCATAGAGAATATGCAAAACTGCAATGGTGAAGAACACTTACATAATACAATCTCCAAACATAATTTTTAAGTACAGTTCAGTTCAGTCATTCAGTCGTGTCTGACTCTTTGCGACCCCATGAACTGCAGCACGCCAGGCCTCCCTGTCCATCACCAACTCCCAGAGTCCACCCAAACCCATGTCCCTTGAGTATGTGTGAGTAAAAGTGGTAAGTTCTAAGGTAGTCTTTTTCAAAGTATAGTCTTACCCCTGTATCTGAATTGCTTGGAATTATTTCTAAACATACAGAATCACAGGCTCCAGGATCTCTAGGAGTAGGACCCAGGAAGCTACCTATGAAACAAGTTCCCCATGTAATTTTCTTACTTGCTAAAGTCTGGAAACCACTGTGGGGACATTTCAAGGAGAGGAGTGGCCAGGAGTAATGGGAGCCAGCTTCCTGACACGGGCATGTAGTTAGATTTCGAAGTAGAGAAGGGTTACATCTTGGAGTCAGAGAAGAAAGGAGGTTCAGGTGGAGCAGACAAAGCCCTGGTGGCTGGACAGAGTGAGATGAATCTGACCAAGAGCAAGCAGCAGACTTGTTTGGCTGAGAGGCATGAGAAATTAGAAATGAGGTGCTTAAATTTAGCCTGTGCTACTTTATGAAGTACTCTGAAATCTTGCCTGCAACACCAAATTAAAAAAGCAGTAGGGAATTCTTGAGTAGAGAAGTATCAGATAAAATCAGCCTTTCTGGTAAATTACTATTATCGTTAATAAATTGGAGGAAAGAAAAGAGCAAAAAGAAATTGTGAGTGTATACTAGGATGACATTTTCAACTGTTGTAAAAATCCATTCCTCTAGTTACCATGGACAAAGAACTGTGCATGTTGTACCTTCTAGTTTCTGGATGCGTGCAGCCCTGATATCAAGAAGATGAACATACTGTTCCACTTTAAGTTCATAATCTTGCTGCAGATTTTCCATCTTCTGGGTCACTGCCTCAACTTCCATCTAAATAAAATACAGATAACAAGCTTCATTACTTAGGATCTGTTCCATTTAAAAATTTTTTAAAAGCAACTATGATTCAAGCAGTTTTTAGATCCCGGGGATACTGGGAGCTGTACACCACTGTTTCCTGACTTCAAAGAGCTTACAGTTGAGAAAATTATCAGTGACAGTGTTCATTAATCAGGACTGAAATCCACACAACTCCGGATTCCTTTTAAGGAGTGATATTCCCATTAGTTAAAAGCTAATATAAACATAGCTGTGGCAGGACCTTAGGAGAGACTATAACCCAGCTGCAGAGTGTGCTAACACTAGTAAAGGGGGAATTCATCGCCACAGTTTGCTCTCTAAAACCAAGGACTTAAAAAAACATTATTTGTTTTAGAACTCTTTAGTCTAAGTATCCAGTTACAAGGCTAAATTCCCATCATGTGGTAACACATGACAATAGATTATAATAGACGATAGTAGAGGATACTGCTTTAAAATGCAAATCATCAGTAGAATATTATAGGAAACTTATCTTCTGGATTTAGTGTATTACAGTACCTGATAATCTTTATTAATTTTATGTTGCATAATTAACATGTTTCTTGTCTTTTCAAGTTCTTGCACTGTTTCTGCATGAGTTGCTTGCAGCTCTTTCATGGACCGTTCTAGATCTTTATTAATTTTACTGTCTACTTTTTCTAAAAATGAAAGGTCTCCATTTTTTTGTGATTTTTGAGCCTGAAACAAAAACACGTTTTATTACCAAGAGTTTCTAAAATGTAATCGTGAATTAACACAGATATAGCCAAGAAATCATTAATTGAAAACAGACAGATTTCCATTTTCCATTAGGAATAAAGCAGTCCTGATATAGAATACAATAACTGGATAGATATTTGGAACAATTACAGAGAAATAGAAAAACAGTTTATTACTCCACGATGTAAAAGAGAATCAAGTACATTTATTTCTATTTCTTCATTTGATTAAAATCTACACTGTGATGACCTAAAAGGAAAATATATTTTCTTGTGTCTTCTTATAAATAACAGAATATTCTAGAACTGGAAAATATCTTCTGGTGAAATGTATAATTCAATATTTTACTTAAGATAATAGGGTGCATCAAGGTCTCTTGGGACAGAAAATTGTTGATTAGTTTTACAGTGGGGCACATAAAAGTGAAATGTTTGTTACAGTTGGAGACAGTGCTTTAAACATGAGTTTTTGAGGTCTACTTTAATGTAATTTTGATGTCATTATAAAATATGTATATGCTATAACTAAATGTCACCTGACCACTTTCCTGAATAATTCATTCTGCAAGTATAAAGGTTACAGATAAGGGTCATCATTATGCTGAAACACTTATATGTAGACATGAAATTCATGGTGAAGTTTAGAAAGTTACCTTTATAAGCAGGAGAGCTTCACTCAATTCATCAGCATTAATATCACTCTCCTGCAAAAGACAGTAAGTAAAAACTCAGTGAGATATTAATGGAAAGTACAAGAGATAGTCCATCTACACAGATTACCCTCAAGGAACATAAGCTGCAAGATACCATGGATTAATAAACTAAGTTGTATATTTGTATTCTGTTGCTTTGTGGTACAGTGTTTTCCTGACGTATAAAGTAATTAGATAAAAATTTGGAGTTCATTTCCTAAATAGGAAAATGGGTCACCTGGTTGTAAAACTTCATGCGGTTTTTAAGTTCATCAAGTTGTTGCTTTTGTTCCAGGTACTGTAACTGGAGTTGTCTATTTTCTTGACTGATTTTCTCATTTTGGCCTTAAAAATAAAGTCAACACAATTAGAAAGTTAAGTGAGAATGAGGTAGAAGAACACATTTTAAATTAACTTAATTGGTGATATACACTCAGCTCAAGCTAGTATTGTTCTCTAGCACCTTAGACAAAGGCAGCAGGGGAATGAGGAAGAAACGCACACCATCATGTGTCCACCATATGGATTCACTGGCTTATCAGAAACTTAAGACTGAGGTTCACAGTATTAATATAAGGAAATTGTGCCTCTGGGACTTCAAAGGAACATACTATCTAAAATACCTAAGAAAATATGTTTCTAAATCTATGACTTTTACTTACTTATTAAGGATCCTGAAAGGCATGCAAAAAAAAAAAAATTGTGTCTTTTAGTGTTTTTAAAATCGACTTCCTTGAGTTATCTTTTCCCCATTTAGCATAAGGTCTTTTTTAATTTAAACAAGATAATTTCTCTGGTGATAACTCTGGATCCATAATTATCATCAACCCCATTTTTAAATAACTCTGTTAAGGTGAGAGAAATGGATTCTCAACCAGTGCATCGTAGTATCAATAATAATTCATGGGCATTCTTTATTCATTGAGTTCATGCTATTAGTTAGGACATGGACTCAGAGCTATCATTATGGGATGGAGATAGGTTACCCTTGCCTATGTGCTCATTCACCAGGACCCACAAGCTGGGGTACAGGGAAGAGCTACAGAAGACAGCAAATCCATAGAGAGTTGAACTTTTTACTCTTTGCCTTAAATATGCTTAACTTAAAAAAAAAAAGCATAATGGCTAGCTAACAAATCTATCCTTCAGTCCTATGTTCTTAAGTGTACTCTTCACTAGAGATCGTTGTGGCGGTCAATTATTCTCCTTTGTCGTCTCCCTGTGGACTGACTCTAAACCATGTCATCCAAAGTGTCTCTACTAATTTCATCCTGCTCACAGAGACTTATGGTTATTATAAGTACTCAACTCAAATTGTACATTTTTGTTTCCTTTTCTTAAAAAAAAAAAGGGAAATCAACATATTTGCCAAGAGTTACTTACATGAATACATTTGCACACTGACTGCACTTATACAAAAATGTTTCTGACTTTCATAAAGCTTTGTGTTCCCAAGACATAAATGCTACATATAAGGAAAAACTGTGAATCACACAGTTAAGAAGAAATGGATTAAATTAGATTATTTTTAATATGACATATTTCCGGCAAACTAAGAAGTAAGAAAAGTTACCCTAGGGTATGTAAAACCATTTTAATATCAAATATGTAAATATTTTTCTTATTGACAAAAGGTTAAAAGGTTATCCTAGGGTATAAATGGCTACTGTTCAATGAACTAAATGAAAGAATTTTACAATGTGAACAATACTTGAAAAATTTTAAGGTAAAGCTCAAATATTTATCTCTAAAAAATAGGATTAATAATAAATTTGAGTTATTACGAGATAAATTTGCTTTTTCAGTTAGAGAGTAAAACAATAATGTGAAACCCTTTATTTGATGTTGATTAGGTTACAACACAATCCAGATTAGGTAACAAAAAGAAGGTAAATGTAGTGAGAAAGATGTAAAACCAAGGTCCTGGGGATAATGTAACTTCCTTCTCGGGCCAGTGAAACTTTCAGGGGTTCTGAGGGGGACCTAAAGTGTAAGGACGTGACTGCTCCATCTTCATCCAGATGCCGTGTATATTACTTCTATGCTCTATAGTTTTTCTGGTCTCTCAACTTTTCAGAGCAGGGTATATGTTACTGGTGTAAATAAACGTATTCAAATGTTCCTTCCCTTCTTGACTTTTGTTTCAACAACCACGTCCCCACTTCACTGGTTATTTTTAAAACCAAGGCTTTATTAGTGTGAAAATACTTTATTAATGGGAGAAGGCATTACTGAGTAACAACAACTTTCTTTCTACAGAATTTTATGTAGAATTATCTACTACATTTTTCCTTTCTTAAACTGTTTATTGGGGGATATAACTCCTGGGACTTTAAAAGTACAGAGACGTTATAGTTCAAAGAGGATATAGACTTGCTGAATTATAATATGAAAAAATCAAAGCACTCTGTACAAGATGAAAAATAACCTCCTTACCTTATGATTTGACAAAAAGCAGGTTAAGCCAAACAGCATTTTATTCAAATGAGATAACATTTCACTCTTAAAATTATGTTCTTTGAGCACACCATTAATAAACAGAATGCAGAGAACAATTCAACTAAACAATTTTCAGAGCTCCTTTGTGCTAATATCTTCAGCTGTGATCAATATAACCATATGTATTATGCTGAATTATGCATTTCAGCTAAAGATAGAAAGGAACTTTCAAAAGCAGGCCCTTAAACACATGCAGTTAATTTAAACATTAACCAAATGCAAACTGCATTTACATATCCTTCCCCCACATATTCACACAATCTGAAACTAATTTGTACCTTGAATAAAGAGGTGAGTATTCTCTAAAAATAATTTGCCAGTTAGATGAATGACTACAAGAAGCCAGGGAAACATCTTCTGGCAGAGAACACTTGATACACAAGAAAGTAAACGTGTGAAGAGACTTCAAAGTAAAACGAAACAATTTCAAAATCTGTAATACAAAAAGGAATTTTCTAAATATTAAAAGATTTCCTTACATAGACAAATTCAATTTTTGGTTTAATAATTCCTGGAAAAAATTGTTTAAAGGCTGTATTATTTTTCTTATAATCTATTTGAACATTTTCACAAAGAAACAAAAACTTGAAACTAGTAGAACTGTAATTCCAGGTATTCAAGCAAAAATAAAACAGTTGCATTAAAAAAAGAAGATTTGGTTCCAGCAATTTTTCTTAAGCAAATAATTGGATAAATGTGTAAAGATCTGTGCAGAAAGAGGTTCATGATACTTAAAAAAGCTGAAGTTATTTAAAAATTCATCAATAGAAGGCTGTTAAACTGTCTATGGCAGATCCTCACATTGGAAAACTATGACAGCCATTATGAATGAATATGTGGATTTATACATGTACTTTTAAAAAAAGCACATTAGATTACATGTATACATATAGAAACAACTCTGGAAAGTTGTCACATATAAATAATAGTGATTATTTTGTGGGTTGTGGGATTCAGTGACTTTTAGAAGAAATTTTTTTGTTTATTGGACTCTTTTAATAATGCACAAGTTATTTTCATTATTCAAAAAAATCTGAACATACTTAAGAACCAGTAAAAAAAAAAAAAAGATAAGGAATGCACTAGTTGTATTAAAATAGCTTAACAATTGTTGTTTTAATAATTTACAGGAACCCCCAGAATTAATCCAACAGCAATAAATAGGTTTAAAAAAAAAAAAGAAAAGAAAAAAAAGACCACTAAGATTCTATCCTCTTAAGAGTTTCTTTCCAGAGAACAATGTAAATGTGAAAGCATGAGTGTTTGGAAATTTTGATATCTAGGGAAGAACAGAAAGCAAAGAAGTGAGAAAGGTTTATTTCATTTCTCTTTCCTTTAGAACGAAAAGAGAGGAAATATAGAGAACTTCTACTTTGGTGGAAGACTTTATTGAGCAACTACTAAACAAAGCACTCTGTTAGGTATAAAATGCTACACACTAAAATCAGGAACTATATATCTTTGACGTAGAAACTTTAAAATATCCACCCAGTCAGAAATCATGTCACCATTTTATTCTACTCACAATCTTCTAGAAAAAAATTCAGAAACCATCTGCCATCAAACTTAACCACTTGGTAAATATAAGTACTGCATATATATTTCATTGAGATTAAGACCCCATTGATTATAAGATGTGCTCTAATTTCAGACTTATTAAAATGCTAAAAAAAAAAAACAGACCATAATTTAAAAAAATGTTATCACCTTTTTAGTGATGCGAAAAAGATGCTTCCCAAATTCAGAGAGATTAAAATGGGAAAAAAAATCTTTCTTAGAGTTAACAAAATATGGCAGTGTGATCTAAATCAATATAGTGAATACTGCCTAGATATGTAATTGTTTTTTTTTGTAACTGAGTCCGTATTAAACATTTAAATGTTCTCATGCAACTGAATTGCAAATGTTCAAAAGGAGTAACCTTAATAGCACATGAGTGGGTTTATCTAGCAGATGAGCAAATACATACAACACTTGGAGCAAACAATTCACTTTCCTGGTTGTGCATTTGTGAGTATATGTGTGTATCAGATAGTAGAGCAGACATCTACTTTAGTTATAAATTATTTTACTTCTGTGAGACAAGAAGGGTGAGATCTGGGACTCATAAAGTGTAACTTATTAATGATTATTATTTTAGCAGGGACATCTTGACAAGGCTTCTGTATTTAAGTTCTCTGTTACAGAGTAGAATTCGACATTTCACTATTAGAGAGGTCTTCCCTGTCTGCCAGATCAAAAACAGCCAAGAGAGGCTTCCGCCCTTCTCGGCTGTCTTCCACAGCCATTTCTTCCCCCATGTGCACTTGCCACCACCTGATGTACTGCATATTTATTTGATTACCATCAGTTTCTCTCTCTCAAACTTATGCTGCATGAGGACTAGGTCTTTGTTTTATTCCTTGCTGTATCCCTGGAACTTAGAATAGTGCCTAGCACAAACTGGTGCTCAATCAACACTTGTTGACTTGAATAAATTTAGGAAAATTAAACAAACTAAAGACAACCTGAACAAGAGTAACTCTGAGGAAAACTAATTTGTTTGGCATGTGTGCTAAGCTGAGTAAAGGGAAATTTTCAGCAATCACTAAACTCATAAAAGCGGATGACTGTTCATACAGGCTGTGTCCCCAGTAAGCAGCAAGGTGCCTGGCAAAGCAACAGCACCATAATGAGTACTTATCAAGTCAGTGAATAACGATGAATAACATGCATGTCCGAAATGAGTAAGTCAGTAGTCATTTCACATGTACCTCTTTCAGTTTTTAATCTGTCAAGGATTTCAGTTTTGTCTGCTAAATCGGATTTTAAGGCTGTCTCGAGTTGAGCAATCTGTACTTTCAGCTGCTGTTCCTTTAACTTCCATTGCTCTTCGTGGGCAGCACTGAAGGCACTGCAAGACACACGTGACAAGAGGGAAAGCTTGGAAATCAGCTTCAACCGAAAATAATAAAGAGAAAAGCTTTTAGTGGCACAGAGACCACTGTCATCATGTCTTAGGAATTAAGTAAACATATGCTGGTCTGCTGCTGTTGAAACCAAGGCGCCTTTCTCAGGCTGCGGTTAGGGAACATGAAAGGGTTTGTGGGATGAGCAAAGGAACTGGCCTTAATTTAGAGCTCTAAAGTCAGAAAAGTTGGCAGTGTGCAGCTTTTGTGGGACTACTAAAGGAATTCAGATACTGTACATAGTCCAAAGGAATCCACAATTCCAAACCTCAGCAGTAGACCTCAGACAAAACCATCCTCTCCCACGAATGCACCCTCTTAATACAGAGAAAAGGGACTCTCCACCTGATCGTTAATTCTAGAGCTTGAGCTTTTAAAGAGTCGGTGATAAAAACATATCCAGAAAATACTGGCCACAAAATGATGCAATTCTGATATTAAACAGCAGTGATCATACAGTTTTTGTCCTAAAAAGCAAGTAAACAGCAGCAGGCTAAGAACAACCAGTTTTACATTGTTACACATGATTGGCGTGAAAACCCAATGAGAGCACCTTGATAATTATGTTACAGATAGAATTATTATTCATTAATAAAAGGAGCAGTTTAAACTATCATGAAAATCTACTAATGATCAGACACAGGAGACACTGGAAGAATCAGCTGCAAAATAACCAAGTGGTATGCAGAAGGTATACAGTAAATATTTATTTAGGTCACTGGTTTCCAAATGTTGGCCTAAAACACTGGTGCTAGGTTAAAAATGCAGATCCTGGGGCCCTGGAATTCACAGTTTTATAAAGTTCCCCAGGTGATAACCAGGTTTTGGAAAAACTGATCTTGATCTGTATTTCAGCAGAAAACTATTACCTGTGAAGCTTGATATGACTGAATAATTATCAGCAGGTTTGACCCTTCTACTTATTTTTAAACCTAGTAAAGGAAGCAGAAATTTACTAAATCTGGTTTTGAACTGATGATAAAGTAAATGGAAAAGAAACTTGTTACTGAAAATTGCCGAAACTTGTTACTGAAAATTGCCGTAAATGTTGCCCCCAGCTAGTCTGAGGTTTTATTCCAAAAGAGATACTTTTCTGGGAGGCATGTCTTTCAAAAGAACAAAAAACTGTGTATTTATGTTACAGTCTGAATGTTTTTACTGCATTTAAAATAACATGACCTTAAAAATAAATGGAATTCTAGGAGTTTCTCTAAATATGACATCTGTTTCTTTTATCAGTGTTCTCATTTCACATATGGAACCTTAAAAAAATACATGGATCTGATATATCAATGTTTTATGTTAATTTTATCAAAGGTAGAGTCACCTAGGTTTAAATGAAATCCAAATATGTACTTTAAATACTGAAGTAAAGAATATCCCCTTACATTTTCATTTTTTTATAAAGAACAAATATATTTCCATATCTGGTCAAATTATGTATACCAAACACATACACATATATGCATATATGTGAGTGTATGTGTTGTGTATGCATGTGTGTTTTATATTATTAAAAACATGTACTACCCGGAAAAAAAAATTAGCATGATGAAATAGGCACAACCATACATTATATCAGCCGTTAAAAATTAGAAACAGTAGTGTTCCAATAGCATTAGTACCAGCAAAAAGATCACCAACAGTTAATCTGGCAGAAACATCAGAAGCTGTATGTGTTTAAATTAAGAACAATTTAGCAGCCTGGTTTTTCCAAACCCACAAAATACTAGTGTAAATCAGCATAAGTCACTCTGAATTTAGTCCACTGCTATCTTCCCTCTAAATTTAGGATTACATTCCACTGGAGTTTCATGAGGAATTCCTTTTGAATTTACTGTATTCCTCTATGCTTGGAGCCATCTGTGTAACTATAAATGGTAAACCACATCTGGCTCCATTTTCTTTGTAGAGGCTGTGTACATGATTAAATCTGCATATGTGAACAGTCTTTGAGAACCCTTTATTCATGAAAATGTTTTTGTACATTGCCTACAGTGACAACTGAGGAAGGGATCATAGTTGGTCTTTGTGCACATTTCATTGTTACATTACGTTGCTGGAGTGATAAAGTATCCATCTGCAATGGAATGCCCATTGGTTCCTGTGGTCACTGGCATGTCCACTGGCAGTCATGGGTCAGCATACTGTAAGTACACACCCTTGATCAACAACATGGTAAGATTAAAAAAAAAAAAGAGCTGAAGAATTCATCTCTACCCTAAAGTCTTTTTTCTTACGGAAGGAATTCCTTTTGTTCCAATGTTCAAGGGCATCCTAATGTGAGGGACAGGGAAGAATAAGCGCTAATCCTCCATAAGGAAATCCATAGGCACCTCTGTTAGGCCTAGTGGAAATTAAATGCATATTAACATGGGGAAATTTCACTTACTAAAGGAAAAATGACTGCCCCAATGTACCCAGTTTGATTTCTGGGAAGCACAAAGTGCTCATTTAGGATCATATGAGCATCCATGTTTCTTAGAAGATTATAGGGGGTCAGGTGTTTGATTTACAGAAATAGAACACAGAGTCTATGGATGGTCAGCAGTGCACCCTTAAATTTTGGATATTAGATGACTATCACGTTGTAAAAACTTGAATCATTCAATTCTTAAAATGGTTAATATCATCTTCAGAAACTGGACCAACTCTTCTTTTAAATGTGCATTGGATTAGTGTCTCTCAGGAGTTAATACCTTAAAATCACCTTTAAGAGTCTCTGGATTCAAAACTCAAATTGGCTGAATCTGAATTGAATGGTGTTGGGGGTGAGGGCCAAGGGCAGGTGGGGAGGTTTCATAGGGTGGGTGAAACCTCCATTTTACTGTTTTCAGGTTACTGATATACATAATAGTTGAGGGACTGTTGCATTCATCAGCTGCATTAACCTAAAACTATATACTAACTTCAAAAATGGGACACAGCTTTACTATATTATAATATAGCTTTTCTCTCTGACCAAATTAAAAGATTTAATTGCAAAAAATTTTATTTTGAATATTTTTAATGAACATTTCTTAAAGTTATACTCATTGCTTGGCAAAGTATCAAAAATGTTATAACATATTAAAAATGGCTCATACCAAATACTAGCATGAAGATTTTATCTTACCAGATGATTCCCTAATATGTCATATGTCAAGTAATAAACACATTCAAAATACCATTTGAAAAGGAAGATGAGAATGCAATCTGCACATCACATTTTTCTACTGAAAAGCAGCCAATTCTGAATAACAAACAAATGCTCTCCTCTTAAAAACATGCTATCACTATGACTAACCAAAAAGGGAATATATGTAGTTTGTGATGAGCCTTACTTATTGGCAATGATGAATAACACTGCCATGAAATCCAAGAGCTGTAAAGAATCCTGGGGAGGATGTTGATTTTTGTAGTTTTTTCAACTATGCTTCTGAAAACACATTATGTATTTAAAAAACCGTATTAGAGAATTTTATAGTTCTATTTACTATCATGTGTGCTTGCTGGATTTTGTCCCTAAGTGACTTTTTTTTTTGACACAAATGTTTTGACACTCATTATACCCATTTACTTCTACACACTTCACACAAAATTCAAGTGTAAGCAGCATAATGAAGTCTGTTTTTAATGTGACAGGGAAAAAAAGGTTGCTCAAGCACAAAACATTAAAATAAAACCCTTCAAAGTCAGTTTTACACTCTCAGATGACCTTCTAATATGGAAAGATAAATTTCATGATGATAAACTCTGAGAAAAACATGCCTTTCTTAAAATTTCATTTATGCATTATTCCCAACAAAGTTTAATGCTTTTTATTACAAGAAAGTATATTCAGTAAATTCTCACATTGAAGGGGAGTAGAAAATGTAAAAGTAATGACCAAATGGCACTTATATTCATGTATTAAGACCATGTTAAATTACTTGAAATTATAAGATGTTAAGATAAATATTTATAAATTAATAAAAATTTCAAAATGTATGAGTTCTATTATTCCATGAATGTTTCCCTTTTGCACATATAATTTTCCATTGCAATTAAAATCAGAGAGATAGACATAGGAGGAAAAAAAATCAAGTTTCAGATTCAAAAGAAATGGATTCTAGTCTTGTACTGGGGTTTCAGCAATGCTGAAACTGACTCTGTACAGGTTTTGTAATTTTTCTTGAGTCTTAATTCCTTCATTTATAAGATAGGGGGATAACATTATTTTCTCTGCTATATAATATGGTGATTGTGTGATCTATACAATGAAATTTTAAGATTTCAAACATACAACTACCAAACAGGCATATTATGCATTATTCTACAGAGACAGATAAAATAGGATAATAAATGCTTTATATAAAATTAATCAGGGCTGATGAGAGTGAGGACCAGAACAAAGCACTAGGGCCACATGATCTGGAAGGGGGTCCAAGGTAAATTACACATAAAGATTTTTAGCCAGTCTGTCCTTGCTGGAGAGCCCAAGATGTTACTTTGATGTTTGAACCCACTACTGGTAACCTTTAATATAATGAGCCACTATGCAAAGATAATTAACACTAGGATAAGCAATGTAGGTGATACTCCACAATGACGCGTAACATTAATTTAGGTGTCTTCTCAAAGTAAACCAAAATAAAAGCCTCTCCTTACTACTTGTTTAATTTGTAAGATGTAAATTTAGCTTACAAAACGTATCAAACAAAACCCAGTTAAAAAGTTAAAGCTATATCTGTAGATCAGACAGCTATTTTCTGATGTTTCAGAATGTGACTAATTAGAAGCAACTGTTGAATATCAGCTGTAACATAAATATATATGTCAATATATATAAAATTTACTTATATGTAAATCTGTATTACCACTTATGGGTATCATACACTGAAAAGACTTATAAGTACACACATATGTGTATTACTTAACTAAACAGAGCTGTGGAGCAGAAATTTGTTTCTAACATTACTAGAAAGGATTAATTTTTAAATTACCATAATTATGAAGCAGATTTAAAAAAAAAGGAAAGCAGCCCTCTAAAATACATCTTAGGATAAAGATGCTATGGTTCTCTTTTTCAGAACCAGAAAAAAACTAACACCTTTTCTTCCCATCAACGAATTAGGCTCAGCTAATAGGCTGGGTAGCCCAGCAGGACAAACAAGGGCTTGGAGAGACCAAGAGAGGTTCAAATATGATCTCTATTACTTCATAGCTTTAAGAACTCAGGTAAATTTACTCAATTCTATTTTATTTTCAATTTCTCCAAAGTGGGCATTAATAACACCTACATTTCCAAGTTGTTATAAGGAATTTATAACAATGCATAAGCAGAGTATTTATCACAGTGCCTGCAAGCTTGCAGTCTGTATTCAAGAAATGATAGCAGTTGTTACTGACAACAAAGTGATATGGTTTTCTTAGTAACAGACTGGCTGTTCAGGTCAAAGAATTTACTACCAATCCCTTAAAAAAAGCTTATTTTTCTTTTGCTACATGTATAGATTTCTTGCAATCAGCTGTGGCTAATTCTTTCATCAATATTAGGTTTCCTGACATTCAGTGTTTTGATAGAAAAGATCTCAAACAAGAGAAGGAAAGAACACATGGAATTATTATTTACCTGTTATAAAGTTTATCATAGTTTTCCTTTAAAAGTTCCCGTTCCTTTTCTAAATCACTAATTCTATCCTGCAACTGAAGAAAAGAAAATTACACATTAAGTACATAAAACCACCTACGGATTAAAAAAACAAAAACAAAAACGAGGAGACAAACATGTTTCAGTCTTGATTTCTACATTGCAGCCGTGAACTAGGCCATGTATATTGTCTGTATCTAATTTAGCATCGGTTTTTTTGAAGTTGTTAAGTAAACATGAAATTAATATTTCTGTTTTAATTTAGTAAGAACGTATGCACTGCTTTATGGCAACATGTGCCAAAACTCAATAAAGAATGTGTTAAAAGCTTCTATTAGGTTTAGGGAAACATAGTATTTTTTTACTTTCCTCCCTGATGGATTTCATCATTATATTCATTTTGTATTAATTTCCAATTCCCCCCTCCCAAAATTAAAGAATTAAGCTTTCTTTTGGTTTGTGGTTCAAACAAATTGTGTCAATCACTATTTACTGTGAACGCGCAATTTCTCATGTTACCTGGAATTTACAAAGAAACATCTTTCAAATGACTGAACAAATTAAACTGTATACCTTGCTTTATCCCAATGTATAAATGAATTAATATTTTTAGAAATAAACGCAGGCCAATTATATATTGATGACTAAAATGTAGCTTTCTGAATTTATTTCTAGTATTTCAGTTTAATTCATCATTATATTTTATTGTTACAACCTTTTCCCATGGATCAGAGTACTCTTAAAATTCATTCCCTTCTCAAAATTCTCTTTTGATGCCAGTATGAGACACTGTAAAAGACTCTTCCAAGATGACAAGAGAAAGTAGGCATATTATTTCATTTCCATTCTCTTTAAGGACAAGGTTAACAGACTACAGAAGATTGTGCTAGCTGGGAAACATGAGAAGCAACATGAATAGGAAGATGAGTTTTCAAACAACTTCTCAGAAAAAAAATAATTTCTCAAAATTGCTGACATTGTACGGCAGAACATTCTCCTCCTTAGAGACAGATATATTGCTATAATTGTTCTGACATCTCAAATGACTAATAAACTGTTAAGATTGAGAAAGTTAAGTTCCTCAGGTAATCTGGTATCCGTTTAAAAATGTCATGGTTAAAAAAAAGCCATGGTTTTCCTTTCCTCAAGGATCCTTAATCCTTTAGATACACAGTGGATCTCAGCACATTTTTTAAGTACTGTTAACTACTGATTTGCCACGCACATATTACTGGGTGTGCTCAAAGTGCCATGGATGTAGTTTAGGATTCTGAAGGCAATATAATATTTAAAATGTCTCTATTTTACTTTTTCGAAACAGTTACAGACAAGTTTTAATGCAACTGAATGGCTAAACATTTTAGGAGCTTACCTCTTCTATTCTTCTTTCAGAAAATGTCATGGAACGTAACTGTTTCTCAAGACTGCAGCATTTTAAACGTTGTTCTTTAAGTTGCAGATTTAGCTCGTCTCCATTCGCCATTAAGGCATCATGGCTGATCCGGAGAGTTTTTTGCTTCTAAAAAACAAAAAGAAAATCCTTTCAAAACTATTTTTGGATTCTGCTTTGAATGAATGATTACCATTCCAAAAAATGAATTTACTCCAGAAGTTCATGTTACACAGTTTATTCTTTATCTTACCAACATTGTATATGTGCTACTGTATTAACGTGCTATTATACAATGTATAATGTCTCCATACAAGGTAGTCTTGGCCAAAGGGTTTCATGAGGAAGAAAATATTTTAGCACAGTCACACAATGCAGTCTGTTTTTGTCCTTTATTTTTCCCTAGTTTTTTGACTTGTTGACAGTGACCAGTGAGTATGTTAGTTTCAGCAGATAATTTTTTTTTTTCATTTTGCTCTGGGTGCAGTGGTTGGAAATGCTGTCTAAAAAATGCTGCTGCATGGGTTAAAAATAAATTCTGATCACAAATAGTCAAACTGAAAATATTTGTTGCCACACCAGATAAACAGGTTAGCTTCTAATTTTAATACAATTATGAATTTCAATTTCATAAAATAGATACTGAAGTCTTAATTTCAAAAATTGATCTACTTATGAATATGTTTTAAATTCAGTTTTACATACTTAAATGCCACATACTTATTTTAGAAATATAAAAGGTGATTACACTAAAGTCTTTTCACAGAGTCTATATGACCATAACATGTAATGCCTCCTCTGCTAATTTAAATCATTAAAGTCCTACTGAAGTTCTTCAATTGTTTAAAAGAAACACGGATATTGAGATCCTTGAGTTTAATTTTTGTTAATCTTGGTATTACTCTTTCACTAGCTTTCTTTGGGCTACCTCAGTGAAGCTGTTGGTTTGAACCTCTCAAATCTCTACCCAACATTAATCCCAAAAGAGGTATCTGTGTTATCAAAGATACTTGCTACTCATGGTATTAAACAAATACCTACAAATAGCTGGAGTCACTGTGAAATGGAAATCAAAACAGTCAAAGTGATAAATGAATGCAGAATCACTCTTTAATTCCTTTCTTAATTCCTCCTTTAGAGATGGCTTTCAACTACATGTATTTTAAACCTCCTTCTTCCATCTAGCTACTGATAGTACTATCGATGCCACTCTCTAATTAATTTCTCTTTCATCCACGCTCATATTTATATGGAAGGCAATGTATTACATGACATTTCAAGAGGTTACTGCAGGATGGAAAACACTATCCAGAGTATGATTGAAAGTATTTTATCTAATTCAACAGTGAATTTAGGCTTCAGATGACCCTATGCTTAGCATCAATTTACTGCTTTCCTTGTTTCAGACTTCAAAGAAAGTCATATTGCTTAACATGAATTCTGCTCATCTGGAATGCTCTGGAGTTCATTATTTCCAGAAACTATATTAATTATGCAGTGCCAATAAACAGGAATGCTCTGATGGCACATTTCTGTGGGGCCACAGTCCTTGTGAAAACAACCATGGGGACAAGAGTACCACGTACTGTCAACCTGAACGGTGAGGATTTAGAACAAATACACTGACAGGTGACGTGATGGGTATTCAAATATTTTCTGAAACTAGTAGTAAAAAAACAAAACACCATATATCAAAATAGATTTAACAAAACTTGGTTATTAACCTATTCTAAGTACTGACCTATCTTAGATACTTCATAAAAGCGTGGAACTGAAGATATATACAAATACATCTAAACCTTCATTACTATATGCCCATATGATTTCAGATAAAAGGAGTGAAGAATAAATTTTCTTGACATGAGATGATTTACGATAAATGTGTTTATTATTTTAAGATGACACAGGTATTCATAAAGAGTCCAAGCAGTTATTTCTTTAGTTAATTAAGTTATAAATAACTAACCATATCAGAAGGGAAATATACACACTTGAGAATAAAAAGAGTAATCTTTAAAAATTACTTTTCAGTGTTATGACCATAGTTTGAACACTATTTTTGAACCTCTGTATCTATGTATCACCCTAATAAAATAATTTATTACAGTACCTCTTGAAGCTGAATAAATTTTCCTTCCATTACTGAAAGGGCATTGCTTTTCTCCACTAGTTGCTTATGAAGCTTAATCATTTCTACGTTGTCTCGAATGTTTGACCTTCAATGATATATTTAAGAAAAAGACAGACACAGAATTAAAAATGCAAAACAAAAGGAAAAAAAAATCTGTGGTGAGACTATAATTTTTCATTGACTGTTACATAGAAAAAAATTTACACACATGCATATCAGTCATTGAGGTTTCTAGTTTATTATACACTCAGGATAGACTTACTGTTTAAAACCAACCAATAATCATTCTTAAACTTTCATAAATACATAGACTCTCAGAGTTTGAAGGGAGCCCCATATTTGATTTTGTCACTTCTACATAGTATCACTTTATACCGTCCTGAAAGATGTGCAAAAGTACATCAGTCTTTAGCAAAGCCGTCATTCTGCCACCAAACTTCAGACTTATTTTAAGGAGGACTATCATATTATTTTTCTCTAAATGAAAAATATGCCATACAGCTACTCATCTTTCCACAACTCCCTCGAAACAAATGGTATCATAAGATTATCATTTATTGGCGTTTCCTCCTGGAGTTCAGACTTTTCAAAATATTTCCAAAAAAAAAGTGACTTAGCATTTTATACTAATAATGCCCAAAGCTGGCATTTAAATACGTTGCAGATGTGCCTGTGGCTGTAAGAGATCATTTAACGTCCACAGGGTACATAGAAACTCTATATGCTGCAATACTAGTTTGTATTTTTCCTACTGAGATTAAAGCAAACGTAGAATTTAACAGGAAGATCTTGTTAAAGGTTAATCATAGATCTAAATGAATACCTGTTTTCAAAAGGCATTTATTTTCCTGACAGAGAAAGAAGGTTCCTTAATTTAATATGTTTTACATTCAAAAGTATTTTAAAAATTGTGAGGCTTGGTTTTAGACTTCATTTTCTAAGAAAAATAAACACAAAAATCTTAAGTTCAGAAAATATTTCAGTATTTAAAGTAAGTAATTTTACTTCCAAAACTTATCTAGTATACACATATTGGAAAAATTGTCACAACGCCCTACTGGAACCAGAAAATGGACTACAAAGCTCACACATCTGTAAACCAGCTGAGGACTTGAAATACTTAATTTTCCTCTTTGATATTTGAAAGTTCATTGTATTTTGGCATCTGACAGTTAGTTGTCCTCGCACAGAAGATAAACAAGTCCAAGAACCTGGATCTTGCCCAAGGTACAGTCTTAACACAATGTTAAAATAATTATGTGTCTAAAACATGTTATCTAGTAGTTCTGAGCACACATTCAACAGTACACTCACCAATATTCCCCTCAGTATTATTTTTACTTACTAAAAAAATAATAATAATATGAAGGGAAAATATTTTTTGACTAGGTCGATAGAAAATATTCACATTTTGTCATATTTAAAAGTTGAAATTAACTTATGTTTTCTCCAGAATTATTTGGTTTGACTGCTCAACAGTGAGTGACATTTACTATTACAGAAGGACAGAATATTGTTCAAATAATTTCAATCTCTACTTATATTTTCAGCTGTAATTCATCTCTTATTTTTCTTGTTTTTAAGCATGTTAATATTTTCAAGATTAGATATATGTGAGATATGTATAAATAACAACTAGTATGTGATGACACTGACAAAAAATTAAGCCCCAACAACCCATTCAGCCTCATAGGGTCATATAAACAGCAGGTTTTAGTTTTGAATTTTCTTTGTCAGACAAAGGCCAATAAGTATCTTAGACAAACTTTCAGTGGTCTAATTGGTAGATGCTTTCTTGAATATTTCCTAAAGTCCTCGGAGTTTAAACTTTTCATAACATTGCCAAGAAAGGTGATTTGATGTTTTATACTAGTGATGCCCAATGAGTAGGCACAAATACAACAGAAATATATTTAGAAAACAATGATAACAATGTGGTACTTTAAATAAAAAATCAGTTCGTTACAGAGTACACCTATTCTGAAACAACAGAGTACACCTATTCTGAAACAACACAGTACCTGGAAGTCTTTAATAATTATTCTAAAGTTTTAGGGGCTCTATACGTAATGGCTGGGGCTTCTCAGGTAAAAAAATCCACCTCCCAATGCAGGAGGCTCAAGAGACCCAGGTTTGATCCCTGGGTCTGCAAGACCCCTTGGAATAGGAAATGGTAACTCGCTCTAGTATTCTTGCCTGCAAAATTCCATGGACAGAGGGGTCTGGCGGGCTACAGTCAGTGGGGTCGTAGAGAGCTGGACACAACTGAGTGACTAAGCATGACAGATAATGGTTATCATTATGATGGGGTGTTTCTGACGGTGACAGTGAAAAGGAAATATAACTTGCTGTTAAGCTGACAGTGAAGAGTCGATGATATAAAGTGCATGAAAGTTAAAAGCAACACTGTGATGAATGTGGCCCGGTCTTCAGAAAGGTGCATAACGAAAAATCACCTCAGACCTGCCAATCAACATTTTTACACAGATGGAGTACAGTAAAAGAATGCGGTGTATGTGAGAGAGGAAAAAGGGAAGGAGATGTCATGGAAAGGAATGTGAGAAGGATACTTGAAGGCAAGAGGGAGCTAGAGTCCTTGCTAAGTGGCTGGTCCTGACCTCTGCTTGCAGAGGAAGGCCTCAGGTTGGTTTCCTCTGAAGAGCAGAGACAGACAGGGCTAATTTTATGAACAATATTTTAAGTGATCACCACATAATATGTTCCTGCCCTGTTCTTTGCACTATGAAGGGAACATCAAGTCTTCAGGATGATGACATTTGAACAGAAAGAACAATGCATAGCAAACACATTCAGATGAACTCAGATGGTCATGCACCAATTCATACATGCTGCATTATACATGGTGAAATGATCTGCAAATGGATATCAAGCACACTAATTAGGTGCTTTGTGAAAATAAATTTCTCATATTTTTCAACAAGGATTTTGAAAAAAAAAAAAAACTATAAAAAAATTAAGTTGGAAAATGTGGTTTCTTTTTTTTTTGCAGACATATTATTTAGAATTATGATCAAATCTTTTAAAACTATGAGAAGAGCTGTTGGCCCATCTCTAAGATTAAAAACAAACTAAAGTAAATTAGATTTTATGTTGAAAAAAGTAATCCAGCTCTCAAACCTATGTGCCAAGTTTCTCTCATATAATTTGAAACAGTCAAGCAATAAACTCTGGAAGAGGAATTTCTAATGGAAGCCTTGAAAACACTTGACTCCAGCTCTGCTACTGGGTGCCATAATAAATCCAGAAACTTAAAACCTCAAATATACTGGAGAAGAAAAAACTTTCAGTGGTGCTATGTAATGTATAGTCTAATATGAAAGCTTAAGAAGTCCAAATCTTTGCTCCAATGAAAGTTTCTAATACTTCACTTCCGAGGCACATAGTTGCTCCCCGCCTTCACATCCGTCAACAGTTCTTTCTTGGCTACAGTAGGGATTATGAATGCTAAAAAAAAGCTTCTTGATTATTTGATGCAAAAATGTTATAATACCATTTTTAGCACCATTGAGCACCATTTAGAAGGGAAGGTTTTAGAATACAAAAGGTAGGCTATGAAATTCTGGAAAGTTGTTAGGTAAGATATTTATGAGATAGAATGAAGAGGTTCTTTCTGAGTAATAGTTTTAAGCTGACTAAATTTGGAGGATAAGCTTGAAAATAATCTTAGAATAAAGAAAAACTCCAGGTTTTTTTTTTTTTAAAGAGTGGCAGACAGTCTCTAAGCATACAGGTCATTCCTAGCTCTTATTAGGGAGACACATGTGTGCTAAGTCACTTCAGTTGTGTCCGACTCTGTGTGACCCACTGACTGTAGCCTGCCAGGCTCCTCTGTCGATGAAATTCTCCAGGAATGAATACTGCAGTGGGTTGCCAGGCCCTTCTCCAGGGGATCTTCCCGAACCAAGAATTCATGTCTGTCTCCTGTCAATAAAGGACAGAAACGGGGTATGCACCTAACAGAAGCAGAAGGTATTAAGAAGAGGTGCAAGAATACACAGAAGAACTATACAAAAAAGATCTTTATGACCCAGGTAACAAAAATGGTGTGATCACTAACCTAGAGCCAGACATCCTGGAGTCCAAAGTTAAGGATGAATCACTACGAACAAAGCTAGTGGAGGTGATGGAATTCCAGCTGAGCTATTTCAAATCCTAAAAGATGATGCTGTGAAAGTGCTGCACTCAATATGCCAGCAGATTTGGAAAACTGTGGATTTGGAAAACAGCAGTGGCCACAGGACTGGAAAGGGTCAGTTTTCATTCCAATCCCAAAGAACGGCAATGCCAAAGCATGTTTAGACTACCGCACAATTGTACTCATCTCACACGCTAGCAAAGTAATGCTCAAAATTCTCCAAGCTAGGCTTCAACAGTACATGAATCGAGAACTTCCAGATCTTCAAACTGGATTTAGAAAAGGCAGAGGAACCAGAGATCAAATAGCCAACATCCTCTGAAAAAGTAAGAGAATTCCAAAAAAAGATCTACTTCTGCTTCATTGACTATGCTAAAGCCTTTGACTGTGTGGATCAAAACAAAGTGTGGAAAGTTCTTAAAGAGATGGGAATACCAAACCACCAAACCTGCCTCCTGCGAAATCTGTATGCAGGTCAGGAAGCAACAGTTAGAACCAGTCATGGAACAACGGACTGGTTCCAAATTGGGAAAGGAGTACATCAAGGCTGTATATTGTCACCCTGCTTATTTAACTTACATACAGAGTACATCATGAGAAATGCTGGGCTGGATGAAGCACAAGCTGGAATCAAGATTGCTGGGAGAAACATCAATAACCTCAGATATGCAGATGACACCACCCTTATGGCAGAAAGTGAAGAGGAACTGAAGAGCCTCTTAATGAAAGTGAAAGAGGAGAGCAAAAAGGCTGACTTAAAAATCAACATTCAAAAAACTAAGATCATGGCATCCAGTCCCATCACTTCATGGCAAACAGAAGGGCAAACAATGGAAACAGTGACAGACTTTATTTTCCTGGGCTCCAAAATCACAGCCAAGAAATTCAAAGACGTTTACTCCTTGGAAGAAAAGCTATGACAAACCTAG